GGGGGGGGAGGTTAATCCACACATGAGGATATTTTTTCCAATGATTTTGAGAGAGAGTGGGAGAAAGGGAAGGAGGGAGGGAAAGTGATGAGACAGACACATCAATTGGTCGCCTCCTGCACACACCCCAACCTGAGCCAGAGATCGAACCTGCAACCCAGGCATGTGCCCTTGACCTGGAATGGAACCTGAAACCCTTCAGTGCATGGGCTGACGCTCTAACCACTGAGAAACTGGCTAGGGCGAATCTTCCTTAGTATCTGATAAGCCTTTTTTGTCTGAGGATAAATTCCTTCTGGTCAGAAATTTCCTTCTACCATTTCTTTTATTGTTGTATCCTTTCTGATTGCTCTTAAGTTATGCAAGTATGTTATTTTTCTCTTCCATATGCAAAAAGGTATCATTTTTCTCTGGTTTACTCCTTCCTCAAGTTGCAGTACCACTTCATGTGCTTTGAGACCAATTTAAGAGATGGTACAATTACCTTGCAGCATGAGTAGCAACATAACAGTCCTATATCACTTGATTAATACCTCAATTTTTGGTTACATTATTTAAAATATAACTTACTAGGGAAGATACAGTCAAAATTACAGATACAACCCCAAAATTACAACAGACTTGAAGCAGAGCTGTCACAATGCCCTTCCTTTATCATTGGCCAACGAGTAAACAAACTAGGAAAAGATCAGGAATCTGGGAACAGGGTTGGAAAGGCTGTGTTCACTATTTTGCTAGAAACAAAGATGACATCATTAAAGCTAATCCAGAAACCTTGGCTGGTTGAAACTTCCAATGCTGATAGCAGACCTTTCCTGTCCTCCCCTCGGTGCCCTCTGGTGGACTGGATGGACCCAATAGAGAGTAAGAACCTATAAATTCTAATCTCTAAACCACACATGGCAGAAGCACTTACATATACATTCCTCCCAAATTACCAGGCTCCAGGGACCACCCAGAAAGCTGACAGTAGGTAAATTAGCACTGGACATAAACTGTAAAAAATAACATGGCAAACAGGAAAGGGCACACGTGGAGAGGCATTTCTGATTTGGAAACAGCACAAATTTCCCTCAAGGACTCAGGCCTCCTGTCTATCCATTATCCATTTTACAACAGCCTCATGGTGCAGTGCCCTCCCGTGTGATTCCCCCTAAAAGCAACCTGGAGCTTCAAGTTAGCAGGCAGAGGGAAGAATCTCAAGGCAGAGGGTCCCCCAATTACCACTTGGAGCTCTGCCCACCAACTGTCACACCTATTTTCATAAGCAAGAAATAAGTTTCTCTTGTAAACGTTTGAGCCGTTAGACATGATTGTTTTCTCAGAGCACTTACTACAGCAGCATTTTCATAAGTACTACAAAAACCCAAATGATCAGAATCCAAATATTGCCAATAAAGTGTTCACCAGACCACACTTTCCAGCTTTATCCCTATGTATTGCATTCACATGAGACTTATTCATAGTTTATACCGCAGAAAAAGATTCAGCACCTGAAATTCAAGGGCATGATACTGTAGCTTATAACCAACAACTCTTACTAGCTTTTAAAAAACCTAAAAGTGAAACAAAACAGCTCCTCTGTAAGATAAAGAAAAGCTTACGCTGGCCGCCGTGTCTCGAGCAGTGTGAGCAGTATCTGGATGGCACTGACTATGGCCGGCTCATTCTTATCCTCGTGGAAGATGTTTGACAGGAGCTGCTCTACAATCTCTCGCCTGGGGAAACAAATCGACAGTCAAGTGCTGATTGTAATATCCTTTACCAGTAACAACTTCAGAGGAGGTCGCGGGATTGGTGAAACAAATATTACACAGCATTCATTGTCACTTGTGTATGTTTATTTCACTTAACAGTATTTTCTTTTTAATACATTTGTTAAAGTAGGCAAGCGATCTTGCTTATTATAAATGTATCTGTCCCATACATATATTCCTTCCTGCAGCAAAACCATCTGGACCCTGCTTCTTGTTGAGAGCCAGTATTTCCAGATTGGATGTCACCTCCCACTCAGACCAGGTGGTGGGTGGTGGCAGCTGGAGGGTGAGGTGGGATAGTAAGACAGAACCCTTCACCCCCACAAAAAAGGGAAATTTTTCAAAAAGGCTAATTAGAAACCATAAATATTTTCCCACAAAGACATTGATATATAATTAACAAACATCTAACTAAAACAGGTAAAAGAGAACATCAATCATTGCCTTTTACTCTACAATTGAAACTTGATAAATCAAGTGGTAGCAATGAAATGGGTCTGACTGAACTATTGCCCAAAGTCTTCTCTGCAGGCTCTTCCTAATACAGCTCCCAACACAGGAAAGGTCACTATTAATGTAAAACGCAAGGGTTACTGCTAGGAAAATTTATATGAACCTTCTCAAGGAAAATCTCCATTTCTTAGGATCTCAGTAATTTTCAGAATCCATATGGATTAAGAAAAGGAACCTCCCTGACAATGTGACATACAGCTGGGCTGCCCCACTGTTCATGCCAGTCATCCCAAGGCACACTGTGCTCACTGTATCCTAACACCAGGTCCCTTGCCAGGCTAGGGCAGCAAGGAGGAGAGAATCTCTTTCTACCTAGGGGAAGGAAATAAAAATGGTATCTAAACTAACTTCAGAGGATCCTCTGCAGGAAGTAGCTTTCAGGTACTACCAGACCTGCACTAAAATTACTTATGAGACCTTGACCTAATACAGCCCTGGAACAGCCACTCAACATGGCCTGGGACTGTGCTCTGGAAGACAGACTGATTTTTTTTTACAGTAAATAGGTGTATTCTTCAAACAGCAGCCTCACCCCAAGAAGTGGGGTTCAGACTACAGATGTCCACCTTCCCATTCAAGTGCCCTGCTTCTCACTCACTCCTCAGGGAGCACTGTCCCACTTCATCAACACTGGTGCCTGAGAGGAGCGGCTAACCAAGAGACCCTCACTACTTGACGGCTGCACTGAATTCCAAGTCTGCTTAGCATTCCACTGACGGACCAGAACGATACACTAACCCGCAAACTGATGGTCACGATGTATGAGCCATATTCTGAGTCTTATTTAAACATAAAAATTTCACCAAATACTGAAGAAATCATAAACCAAGGGATCAACCTTATCAAACAGGACAAAAAGAATGTCTTTATATTCTTTAAGGCATTTATTTATACATGAGAGAAAAGACACTCATTTTCACATTTAAAAAGCTGGAATTCTTGGATGAGCACCAGGAAAACGCATGGTAGGAGTTGCCTGGTGCATGACACCATCCAGGGTCTTGACCCCTGCCTTCGAGACAATGGCTCCCCTTCAGTTTTGCTTCTCATGTGGACAGTCGGGGAAAAGACTAACTTCCATAAAACTACTGGCTGAACAGGGATCAAACCCCAACTCACTCCAAGTTCATTAGACTTAAGAGTCGCACAGTCCAACCTTCCCTAACACAAGTATCTTTCAAGGAATTTTTGAACTTGAAAAGTTTCCAGAGCCACTACATTAAATACATTCGATTGAAGCCCAGACTGCTCCCCAAGCTAATATTCATTATCTAGCCCTTCGGCCCACTGCCTTAGAGATCTTTGGGTACCCTACCCATCTTTACCATTCTCTTTAACCTTAGCTCATTTCAAACTTTTCCTTTAGTGCTAACCTACATTTTATACATATGGGGGGGTTAAACTATTTGAAAAGTTCAGAGTCTACATATAAATGTCATTTATTTACATTCTTACCCTGTAGGTCTCCACTGGGCATCATGAATGGCTGGATCAGACAAGCAATTTTCTTACCTTCTCACTCACCCAAGGGCATCACTTTCTGGGGACGTGATTCCCACGTAAGGAAGACTTAGCAATCTCACAATGGCAACACATCAAACAGCATCGATATGAACAAAGGACAGAACAGAGCTTTAAACATACTTTTCTAGAGTGGCAAGCAGAGGATCTGGCTCTGGACTGTTCTGAATTTGTAACATCTGGTCTCTGCTCAGGCGAACAATTTCACAAAGTGATTGTGATGCATTTGAATGCCGCTAAAGGGAAAAAGCACAATTTTAACTATAAAACATGTCAAAAGTCATATTTACAATAAAAAGGGAGGAAACTGCTTAAGATATGACACAAATTAACATTGGCCATAAGCTGCAGTGAGTAAAAAGTCAAGCTCAAAAGAAATGACATGTAAAAAGTGCTGAGTGTTTTACTTTGCCAGACTAAAAACTTGACCTCACAATACTGCACAGTACACAGTACTATTTGTGGGGAGAGGCGACAAATGTTTTGGCAAGGAAAAGCTTCTACAACTGAATATCTGAAAAAAACATCCCCCAAACACATACTTTTACCAGCACAGAAAGATGCACATACTTCTCTGGTTAAAAAAAAGGGCAAATAGAGCTTTCTGGAATATAACAATGGGTAAGAAACACTACAACTTTGCCAAGTGTACAGTGTATTTGCCTTACAGGAAAACTAAAATCTCAGCACCAACACACTGAGCACCACCTGCAGTAGAGGTAGGACAACGATATTCCAGCACAGATGACAACACGAACTGGGATATCAAAATCCACGGATTGGAATCAGGAGCCTAATATTTCTTTAATCAATACAAATTGGTCAGTACAACTTTAGCACGTAATTTATCATTTAATACACAAGTATCAACAGGACTGTCCCAAAAGGCAAATTTAACTTTCTTGCAAGTCAAGTTGGGAAGGTGCTGATGCCCCTACTTTTGTCCTTCGCAAAACCACCTGCCAAGAGCTGGGCTTCTCCCTCATCAATTTCCCACACCCTGCAGACAGCTTAACATCCTGCTGAGCCTCCAAGGTCCTCTGCTCAGGAGCCTGAACCTAGTGATGAGGAAGCCTGGTCACAGCCACGTGCTCCCTGTCAATGCTCAGGCCATGCTCCTGCCATCTCTCTCCACACACCCATCACATGGAACCACCCACCACCCATCTCCCCGGCCACAGGGGAGGATTACCTCTCGCCCAGACCCAAGGCTTCTTCTAGGCAGGGTTCTCTCGCTCGGACACTTAACACACTGGAATGTGTCCTCAAAGTCAACAGTAACAATACTACACTGTCTCATAAGGAATCATGGAGAATCAACAACCCCTTTAATAGGTAGCTCTTTTCTTCTTTTTAAAAAAAATGCCTATTTAGATAAACTCTAGCTTCTAAGTTTTGGAATGGACCAGAGTGAAGGGGGGGGGCTAAATCCACCTTAATAGAAAACTGACCTTCATGAGAAAATACCCTCTGGCAACACACCTCTTTTGCACTCTCCTGTCTAACCAGCAACCTACAAGGAACAAGAGGGACCCCTGTGCCTCATGATATATTCTGCACCTTCTTGAAGCCAGCTCCTTCACAGACATTAGGCTGAACAGCATGAACTACCCTGTCTGTAGGTAGAATGGTTGGATGTTGGCAGTTCTGCATGGCTCAGCCCACGACTGAAGGTGGCAGCAGGAGCAGAGAAGCACAGTGCCAGCCTCCTCGACAGAGCCATACCAGCTCAGCTGGTCCCTGTGACCCCATCCTGACAGGTGTCCCCTGAGCAGAGCTCAATCTGCAACTGCAAAGCAGTGTAAATCCTAATGCCAAGTCCATCTTCAGCACCTAGGAAAAAGCCAAATCTGCCAGAGCATAATGCCCAGGCCAGGAAGGACAAGCACCAAGAGCCCGTCACTCCAGCGATCCAACAGGACCAAGGCCCTGCTGTGCTGCCTGGAAAGCTTTAGCCAGGACTGAAAGATCAAATGCAGATGTGGCCATGTCCCTTGGGCTAAAGATGGGTATTTTTAAAAAAAAAGAAAAAAAAAGGGAAGTATGAACAGAGGAGGTCTGTAACAAAGGCAAGCAGATTCAGCACGAAATCGAAGCTCTAGAATAGACTGCTGCAACCAGAACTTGCTGCTTTCCACACTTCTGGAAATTTTCTGAGTATCAGCAAAAAACAGAGTAAACACAGTATTTTTAAAGCCTTTAGTGTTTAGAGAATTATCAGCTTTAAGAATGCAGATTATCACTGCTCTACCTGTCCTCTATTTCACATTTCATGCAATTATGCTCTGCACCTAAATAAACACGGCTCTTTTTAAAAATCAGTTTATAGTCAGACCAGGGAACTTACATCTTCTTCTTGCGATGGGTGAACTATTTCCACAAGCCTCTGGATAATTTTCTCCTCATTTAACCACTGTAAAACACATTGTAGAAGTGATCATAGCAATGAGTGGCTCTTGTTCAAGCCCCAATGAAGGTTAACATACTTGGAAATATCCATCACATTTTAAGTAGAATGTTACAGGTTTCTCTGGACTTTGAACACTACAGGAAATTAAAAGTCCCCCAAGGAAAACGCCAGTGAATATATCATTTTAACAATAGCCAACAGTACCAACTACTCCCCAACTTATAATGCCCACATAACGAAAATTCTATACATCAGCTTTCTAGCCATGGCATAATGCTCAGACACTGAGACTAAAAGGGTCTGAACTTTAGTTATTGGGGGTTGGGTGGAATTCATATACTTTCTATAAAAGAGTACTAACTTTAACAAAGCTTCAGAAAGACTGAGAAAAGTAACATTTAGTATTAAGCCTCTGGGTTAAAACATATTATAAACTTTTAGATTCCAAAACCACCCCAGGAAACGTGGGAGTGGGGCAGCACTACAGAAGCTGAGTTTATCTGCCCTGCCACACGTTGGCAAAGACCTATTATCATGACCAGGACAGTGAAGGAAAACATGAAGGGGATGAAATAAGGAAGAATAAAAGAAAACATAGCTGGTGTAATACTGGCTCTGTGAGGATCAAAAACACCATAACAAATGAAATGCTCACTACCTAAAGAGGACACCCCACCCTGCAAAAGGTTAAGGATAGGGGAAGAGCTGGGTGGCAAGAAATCAAACCTAATTTGCTAAAGGCAGAGAGAGAAGCTGTAATACTGTCTCCGGCTCCTTAAGGAGACACGCCAAAGGAAAATGTAAACAAAAGTCATTGGGGGGGAACCACAAAGTAGAGGCCCAACTTCACAGTTTAAAATCTGTTTTATGGTGTGCAATGTAGATCTGGCTCAGCAGGGCAGGGCAAGACCTGAGCTTCTGGATTTCTAACAAGCTCTCAGGTAATGTCAGGGCCACACCATGAGTAGCAATGTCCTAAAACAGAGCATGGTAACACCTGTACAAAGGGGATAGGGCGGAGGGTCCTGACCATCACTCGTCAAACCCCCACCCTACTGCCTTCACAGCTAGTGACAAGCACCTACATTCCAAGCCCACTTTTAGACTAATCCCCCTCAGTGGGCCCCCAAATAAAGTAAGTCATTTAGGAGTTTTGTGTTAACCTTCCCCTAACCTATGCCTTTATTAACCACCGATCACTGTGTCCCTCTATAGGCCCATCTAATTCCTTCTAAAAAACCATACTAAAAATTTCCCCCATAACAATCCAAATATAAAGGTGACCTTCCCCCTTGTCAACAGTCTCCCCTGAACTCAACCTCTTTTCACATCCACAAAAACATACCTAAAAGGAACCAGTGTCCCAATTCAGGGCCCTTCCACAGGCAGCTGCTAGGACATTCCCTAAGTCTGCCATCTGGGTTCCTCACAATGAGCACAGGTCCCAGTAGACCTCTTCCTGGTTCTTCAGATCTAGCTCCGACCCCACCACATCCTCCCACTCACACAAACACACACCCTGGAACGCCTGCCCACCTCAGCAGAGCACCCCCTTTCCTGGGGTACCACCTGACAGACCCATCTGTCCCTCTTCTTTAATTAAAGTTAGCATTTCCAATAAAACTCAGAGAAATAAGACGTAAGATTCGAGGCTGAGTATTAAAGATGGAATAAACTAAGGAGTGGTTCTGGAAGAAGGCAGTGAAGAGAACAGAGGGAGAGACAGAAGACAAGAGGAGGAGGCAGAGGAGCCATGAGAAACCTTATCTCCTCCCTCTTCCCAGCCAAATCTCCCTCGCAGCACACCTATCCTAAAACCACTATCTCCAAACATTTTAAATATGTACCCTTTGGAAATAAGCTCCTTTCTCCTTCTTACCCCATGCTCCTAGGTCCCCAAGAGAAGGAAGTTCCTTCTGAAGCCTCATCCCTAGAAACACAGACTCCTCTCCTTTCCGACTTTTAAAGGTAACCCTATGGTGGGACCATCTTCTCAACAAAGGGCCTCAAGGCATCTCAGGTGAGATACAGCGCACAGCGGCGTACTTGTCCTCTCGCCACCTGGCCAGCTTTGAGACAAATCCTCAGCTCGTTCTACCTTCTCACGCCACTGACAGACAAGCCAGCACAGGCAACAGAGCCCCTCCCAAGGAAACGTCCCCGGAACCGAGGTGTGGGCACATCTGAAACCTTAATCCTGCAGAATCTGAATCTCTTCCTATCTCGAAACAGCCTTCTTCCCCACCCTCCCCCCGCTCCCCCGTTTCCCAGACAACCTTCTACCAGGCCCTGGAATCCCACCCCAGCAGGCAGCCCGGGGGCTCACGCGCTTCTCCCCACCCGGCCGAGGACAGTCCTAACTCTACTCACATTCAGCACATCTTGCCTGGGCTGTGGAGGCTCGATGCATGTCAGGAGCCTGAGCAACAGGTCCATGATAGCCGACGTGCCTATGTGCTTTATAATAAGGTCTACAAAATCACGTTTCTTCTTCAGGAAATCCACAATCTGGAGGAGAACAAACCAAAACTGAAAGACATGTAACCTGGGAACTATAAACTTCAGAGTGCTGTCAGCTCTGCCCCTCCCAAATCCCACTACCACTGTGAGAGGAACGGCGAATGCTGAATTCATAGTAAGATGTCCAGCTGGGAAGCCAGCTAACTGTTATGCTATTCAAAAACCGTCAGGAAAACACAGTCACCATAAAGGAATCTTTTTCTGTTCATTTTCATTATTAATTCTCAAAGAATGAAAATGAAAAATGTAATAAAGAGCAAGAGAATATGCCATTTCAGTTTATGAACATAAAGTCCATTAGATTACGCACTACAGTGCGAAATACATATTTAAAATCCAATTATACTCTAGCCAGTGAGAAATTCAAAACATTAAGATTTCTCCACAAAGTGACTAACTCACCTACTACAGAAACATCACATGTGGATTTCATTTTGGTGTTTCACCTGCTGAGACTTACACAGGGCAGTGTGTGTGGCAGAGGCAGTTACACCGAGACCATGACGACAGAAATAAAGTTACAACCCTGCCACCTAGTCTTTTCTGTGCAGGAAAAAGAGGAAGGCTGTTCTGTGTACTTCTGATTTCTGTCTGTGTGCACGAATCATCTACTCTCTAGTCCCAGAAGCAGAAGCCCAGCATGGCAGCTGCTTCAACATAGTCTCACTAAAGTCTCTGAAAAGCCCATGTAGTGGGATTGCTAAAGTCAACGTTGCAGATGCAGAAGCCAAGGCTCAGACCAGTTAAGTATTCTGCTAGGAAGCTAAAAAGTGGTTGCACTAAAATTTAAACTTAGATTTATATGTCCCCAAAGCCATGATCCCGCCATTACCCAATATGAAAAAGTCTAACTAAACCTGCTTCACACACAGAACCAGGTGTTAAGTGCAGGATTGACCATCATATGTGGCTTCTCCAGACAGTGAGGCTAAATGCGGTAATAAACCTTCTAGTAGTTATACAGAATTAATCCACTCACAACTGAGTCACACAAATTCTTAAAAGCACAGTTGAGGAGAGAGGAAGAAAAAGCACCGGATCCGGAGCCCCAAGGCACAGCCAGGACAGCAAGATGTCCTATACAGAGGATGACACTGTTGAGGTGCTAACTCATCCAGCACTGAAAGTGCCCTACAACTGGAGTTCCTGCTGCACGAACTAATAAATGTCTGCCTCAGTTAAGCCAGACTGAGTCTGAATTTTTTTCATTACTTGCATCTGCATATATCCTAATACATCATGTGATGGGAAACCTTTACTTACACTAGTAACTCCCAAAAGGTTAGTGAGGTGGGTTTGACCTTTTCCTGGAGCCAAAAAAACAAAGGCTATAGAATGCGATTGTTTTCATTCAAGGGGTCCTGACCAAGACACACAATGAGCAGCAGCAACTGGGCCTTGTCCTCAGCATTTAATTGGCACGTACCATCATCGTTACACAGATACTATGCCTGACCTTGAAGACCAATACAAATACTCAGAAAGCTCCAAGTGCATTCTCACTCATGACACTGAAAACCGGGACTTGTTTCAATGGTCGCTACAACCACCTGGAACTGACTAATAACTTAGGCTGTGGGGTGACTTGCACTTTCCTGTAACAGTCAGCAGTCCTGTTATTTTTCTTCTCATTGGAAGGCAGAAGAGAGAAAGACAATCTGTATCAGAGTAATCACGATTTGGGGAACATTCTCTAAGAAAAAAGAACTTCAATTCCAATACATTTAGGAAGGTAATTCTGCTCAGTTAAGACATGAAAGAATGACCTTGTCTCTCTAAAAAAAAGCACGTATCCACTTCACCTTGGCATAGGATAGACGCACAGGACCTAAAATAGTTCCAGTCCCTGTGTGTGTGCTGATAGCAAGGACGGGTCCTGGAGAGTGCTTTCACCATGCAGGATGCCAGGCCGACTGATCTGACTGCCTGCGCCCATCATCACACCCTTGCTCACTGCACTCTGGAGGGCCTGTTATTCTGTACTTGGGCATTAGAGGCTTGATGCTCCCTGGATGCCTGTTTCCCTCCGTGGAGCATAATCTCTGGTCAGCAGATCCTTTTTCACACCAGTATCAACTAGAGCAGTGATTCTCAAACAGTAGCATGCATCAGTCATCTGGAAGACATGTTAAAATCCCAGATTGCTAAGCCCCACCCCCCCAGAGTGTCTGAGTCAGTAGGTCTGGAGTGGGGCTCAAGAACTTGCATTTCTAACAATCTCAGGTGGTACTCATGCTGCTGGTCCAGTAACCACACTTTGAGAACCATTACACATACAACCGGTATTTGGAAAATAAATTTCCCAAGGACATCTGAATTGTTTAAAAAGCAAGCAAAGTGGGGAGGGGAGAGAACAAGAAGAAAAAGGGGGGGTGGGTCCTGCCACAACAGCAAGGCAAGAATTTCTATCAAGCACTACTACAGAGCTACACAGGCACTTGACAGTCTACACCCAGATGTCTCAAGCTAAACTCTTTGAGTAGAATCAAAATAGAAAATCACCATTTGTATAAACCAATCATCAATTACATTTATAGAAAAGCTTTTTAAGTTTCATTTGTAATCATCAAGGGAAAGAAAAAAAATAATAAACTGTTAATTTACCAGTCACTAGGACCCACTCACATATGCAACTGCTCAGTATGCACCGTAATGCCATCTACTAGCATCTCATGCTTCTAGCTACTTGTCAAGAGAAAACCACAGTCTACTAAAAAACTGAGATGTGAGGCACTTAGAAAAGAAGTGAGAACATATTCAATAATGTGTAAATCAGTGTTAAGCCAGCGAACATCTAGAATGTTTAAGTTTTAAAACATATTCTTTTATAGAAGCTGGACTTAAAGCATACTCAGGACACTGAACCAACAAAATTACTGGGGATCATCTCAGAGGGATGATCCCCCCTAATACTTACCTTTTGGAAAACAATATTTACCTGTTCTGGTTTTCTGCTGATAAGAATACTTAGCACCTTGCTGAAGAAACTGGCAAGTAGTGGGTTCAAGGGGGAATCGTTTAGGAGGAAGCTATATAATTTCATTAGCAAGGATTCATCTTCTCCCAGTCTATCATTCATCTGGGAGACATCAGAAGTGAGCAACTCACAAGATATATTTGGATACCTAGAAGAACAGGATATTTATATCATCATCTATATTAACAGTATAATCAAAGTAACACACAAATCAGAAAGGCTTCCTAAAACTTTGTGAAAAAAATAATCTTCTGAAAATTAGAAAATGGTTTCAATCTATTCTGTTCAACGTCTAGATTAGAGTGAATTTTCAATGTCTAAAAAAACTGTTCCTAAACCAAGATTTAATATGAATACAATTTCCGCAACAAAACTAGAACACACCAAGGGCTCAGGGGCGTGGGGGGGG